GCCACGAATTAAGAACGTCGTAATAATTTAAAAAACTTGCACACAAATTCTTAATTCGTGGGATTCATTATTAATTTATAGTTAGCAGCTCTCACTTTGGCTATGTAAAGTTTGCATCGTTTTAACGTTATAAAATAAAACTTAAAAACATCAGTACTCACACTTTGATTGCTGTCCATGTTGTCCATATTATATTGGTGTTCTTGGTGATCCAATTCGGTAGGTGGCGCTGTTACAAAAAACTAGGGTCCTGGAAATGCGATCCTAGAAATGCGGTGCTGAAACTGCAGCCTCCGGTTGTGCAGGAACACCCTTCTCCCCTCCAGTGTGTATTTTACAAACTTTTTTTATTTATTTATTTAGCTAGTACTAAGTATATTTAAGTGTGAGAAACATCAAATAAATATATGGTTGAAAACACTGAAAAGTTTTGATGTATGGCAAGTGAGTGCGTCTGTTTCTGGCTCAGCTCCAGCCAAAGCGCGAACGCAGATTTGAATTTAGCAGCTGATGATGTGCACTTTGTGCACGTATCAAATCTAAAAATATCATTAGGCTATTTTTGTCTTTTGGAAGCTGCATTCAAAATTCACTTGGCTCAAAACTCTTTGTTAGGTTTCAATGGGCCTAACGCCTCTGACTGTATGTCATGGGAGAAACAGTCACACATAGGAGTAGCCTAGAGCTGCACAAATCTGGATAAATTGAAAACCACGATTTTGTATCATGATTCTGAACAGACAAATAAACAAAATAGCATGTCATTTACTAGAGGTTCTGACAAAATATTAATTGCTGCAGTCTATTTTTTAATTTTTTTATTTTTTATTTGAATTATTTATTGCAAAATCTGCACCTCTTCTGTGGGTAATATTATGTTCATAATCATCCTTAGCCTACTCCATGAAGTCAAGCAGCTGAAGTTAATGTGCAAATATTACTGGTGAACTAAATTTGCAAGACTAGTCTTACGCTGTTTATAACACAGGGCATTCATCCTTTGCTGGGCTGCTTAAAAGAAGAAAAAAAAACCAGGCACCAAAACATCACTGGGGTTGACCGATCCAGAATCACATTAGTGGACCAACTGAAGTGATTAACATCTTGCATCATTTGCTTTTATAGTTTGCACATGTCTTCTAAAAAAATGTCTTCTTTTTTTTTTGTGTGTGTTTTTGTGTAACCCAGCTCCTGGGACAGGACAGTCGCAACAACCCAGCTGTTGTAATGAGCATGGATATTTTGCATCCTCTTCAGGTGGCTAGTAGTTTACTTTGGTAAAATATAGGTTTGTGTATGTTTTATTTAATCTATAAAACAGTTTCTTTGCTGTAAATCATTTTATTTAATACAAAGCAAACTAAAGGGATGTCATGCCCTAAACAAGTCGCATTGGTCTTTTCGCGACCATTTTTCAAGAATATTTTAAGTTTTGAGGATTTAATTATAAGTAGTCTACTTGTTAATGTACGCAGTAAAAAAGCTAGTATTTTTGTAAACAAACAAACAACCAATAAGGAAAAATTAAAGAAAAGAGAGAAGTCGCTATTGTTCCACATTTACGATTAAGTAGGCTATGAAGCTTTCCCTCCCATCACACATACAAATCAGTATCCACCAATTACGGAAGTAGTTTATTACCGTGGAAATAAAACCTACAAAACCTGCAGCTGGTATAGATAACACGCATATCTAATTTCTTACTTTTATTATCATTTTATATTAAAAGGGAATAAAGTTATTGACATTATCATTATTATGCATGCTTTTTCATGAAATATATGCACGCTACAGGTCAACACGAACGTCTTTCATTGGTGCGTGAGGATGGGGGTCCGCCAAATGAGGTGCCGGATCGGATTTCAGATGTGCCAGATCCAGATCCGACTTGTTCCGGCACAAAATAAGCCCTCGGATGTGTGTCAATATAACGGAACCGTGCATTTCTTATGTTGATAATGTTAATCAAACAACAAAAGATAAATAGACAATCACTCACTGCTCTTAACTAACTTCTGTAGCTTTAATAGGTATTTGTGTATATTCAAACAGCAATACAGTTTTCACAAGCACGGTAAAGTACTGTTAATTAGGTAATTTGCATATTTGTATCTAATGGTCTCTCTGAGGGCTAAGCCCCTCTGAGCATGTACTCCTAGAACCGCCCCTGACCTGAGCAAAGCAATAAAGCTGCTGATTCTGAATAATACTGAATAGACCTAATACAGGGATGCCGTGATAGGCCTCTTATATGTAGAAATGGAGCTGATGCAAGCCTGACTGACGTGACCTGCCAGAACTAACGCTATGCTTGATTAATTAATCGCCACATCCTGTAATTATTTAGATTACATCTTTTAATCGATTGACAGCCCTAATATAAATATATTAAAAATAAAATAAATATATAGTATAATATATAAATATATAAAAGAATATTTTACTAATTGTTTATAAGTACTTTTTTACTGTACACTTACAAAGTATTTTTAACAATTATAAATAGTAAAGAATCATGCACTTTAGGTTACTGTGGCAGATGTACAGCAGACTGGTAGGTGGCAGTGCTCTTAGCACAGATACTGCGGATGGTGTTTTTCATCAGAAACATCCTACAAAATATATAGAACAGGGGTCTCCAAACTCAGTCCTGGAGGGCCGATGTCCTGCGGAGTTTAGCTCCAGGATGTAATGTGGTGTTTGGGTTTTGTCATGTTCATGTTTTCATGTCTTTTATTTTGTAATTGTTCATGCTGTCAGTGTCATGGTTCCCTTGCCCTCTTGTCTTCATGCTATTGGTTCCTCTGTTCATTGTCATGTTCTGTTTGGTAGTCTTAGTCATGTGTCTTGTTCCCCATTGGTTTGTTCATGTCATGTGACCCTCTTGTCTGCTATAAGTAGCCCTCATGTTGCCATTGTCT